ACCTTGAAGGTTCTATGTCCTCTGAAAATAGGAACAGGCTAGGGCTGCCAGGGGACTTTGGGACTTTCCTGCAGGTGGCCTGCCTTCTAGAAGGGGAACTCCACTCAACCTCCCAGGAAAGACCTCAGGCTTTGTTTAGGTTGGGTTGGGTTTTGGTGACCACTGAAAACTGTAGAGCTTTGGACCATCCATATGATACTTGGTCTCTTTCAGAGGCCAGGCAGGGTTCCTGCCCACAGCCCCAGAGAGAGAGAGAGAGAGAGAGAGAGAGAGAGAGAGAGAGAGAGAGGCCCTGCTTCCATTTGTGGATAAGATGCTCCAAGCACCAGAGGCAGGGTGGGAAGCTCCAGTCTGTGGCTCTTTCCAGAAGATTCAGAAACGAACTCAAACTTGGCTTCCCCAGCATCACAGACCACGGTATAGGGCTCCTCCCACCTCAGTCTTCAACACTGCCCTAGTTTGTTTTCTGTTGCCGTGTGAGATAAAAGACTAGAAGGAATGAATTTATTTCATTTTGCAACTCCCAGGTCATAATCTATCAATGAAGGAAGTCAGGGCAGGAACTCGAGGCACAGCCTGAAGCAGAGATCACGGAGGAATGCTGTTTACTTACTTTTTATGCCCTGCTCAGCTGCCCCTCCTACACAGCCCAGACCCACCTGCCCAGGGACAGCATGGCCCACAGCGGACTCCTCCCCCCTCACCCAACTACCAACCATAGAGAAAATGTCCTGCAGATATGACCACAGGCCAATCTGATGGAGGAAGACTCTCAGCCAAGGTTCCCTCATCCAGGTGTCTTCAATCTGTGTCAAGCTGACAAAATCAACCTACACAAACACCCATCAGAACTCCAGGACATTTGGGGGTCCGCTTCAAAGTCGTACTCACTTTAAGGGGCAGCTTCTGGCTTCATGGAAATTATGAAGCTGGATACAGAGATGCCCCCACCCCAGCCCATATCACAGCTGGCAAGGCTTCAAGATTATAATGAGCATCCCATGAAACTGATGCATTAGAACTCCAGGACGAATATATTTTTCTGCCAAGAACACCCCATAAAGTGTACCACTAATGAATAAAACCACAACCCTGCCAGGAAGAGATGTGTGTCCCAAATTCTAAAAAGTAACTGCTCTGTGTCCTAAAGCCAGCCAGACCCAGGAAGAGAGAACTTAACAGTTCTCTGGGGATCCCCAGCACTGGCTCCCCAAAATGGAACCTAGAACCCAGCACTACCTCTTCCAAACCCGAATCAGGCTCCTTGGCCACCGGGGGTTGAGGCTTCCTACCAGTTGCATCAAAACAATAAAGGCAGGCTGACAAGAGACCCTCTGTGAGGCACATACTGCTGGAAAGGAGTTGATCTAGGAGTCCCAAGTTGGTTGTGAATTATGTGAGTATACAGGTTGCTGGATCTGTGTCCCCTGAAGTGGAGTGCCGGTGGACTTCAGAATGCTTCTTAGGAGCAAGGTAGGATGTCTTTCTCAGAGCCTCAGAAAAGGTTAAGAACCAGCCTTGATGATGGGCAATGAGGACTCATGCCTATAATCCCAGCACTCAGAAAGTTTAAGCAGGAGAATAACCTATTGAGAGCAGCATAGGCTATACAGTGAGTTTCAAGCTAGCCAGAGCTGCAGAGTGAAACCCTGCCTCAAAAAGATACATACGGGCTGAAGAGATAGCTGAGTGGTTTAAGGGCACGTACTTCTCTTGTAGAGGACTCAAGTTCAGTTCCCAGCACCCACGTCAGGCAACTCACAACTGCCTGTAACTTCAACTCCAGGGGACACAACATTCTCTTCTGGCCTCCACAGGCACCTGCACACACATGCACATTTCCACACATAGACACACACGCACACATATATATGTAATTTTTAAATGGATGAATGGATAGATGATGATTGAGATAGCTATATAGATGATAAATAGATATAAATAGATAGATGATAGATAGATAGATGATAGATGATAGATCAATGATAGATGATAGATAGATGATAGATAGATAGATAGATGATGATAGATGATAGATCAATGATAGATGATAGATAGATGATAGATAGATAGATAGATAGATAGATAGAT